GTAGGTGAAGTGTCTTGCCCAAGGACACAACGACCGAGACTGTCCGAGCCGGGGCTCGAACCGGCAACCTTCCGATTACAAGGCGAACTCCCAACTCTTGAGCCACGATCGCCTCTGTTTTTCCATGACTGAGTTTTTTTTTTTATTTCTTTAATTTTTTTGTTTTATTTCTTCTCACTGACACAAATATTAACAATCAAACTTTCACTCACGCAAACCTCACCTCGGTGCAAGATGCAAACATGAATTCAAACTCGAGTTTGATTTTGGAAATATCTTATATATATATATCTATACGCCGGTCCGACCTCGTGCAGCTGATCTAATGATGAATGATTATTGTCAATTTGAAGTCAGTCACGTGCCCGTTTTAAATGATAATAATAGGAACTGAAAAAACAATAAAGAGTAAAGTTTAATTCACTGACCTGTTGATGCTGCAGTTGAAACCGAGAGTCAGAGTAACGTTTCGAGGAGAGGAGGATGAGGCAGTACCGGAAGTCTGTAGGAAAGCGCGCGTGTCCGTGTAAAGAGCAATAACTGTGCCACGCTATAATATGTAAAACAGACCTACACAAACACAAAACACTCATCCACGCAAACAATGTTTCAGTGTCTCTTTTGTCATCAAGAATAATTTTTACTTTTTCTGTCACTCGAGGTTTTTTTCTAGTTTAATCTGAAGCTGAAACACCGCAGGCTCCGTGTCTCCATCCACGTGATGTCACGCATTTCACCAGTGACTGTCTCCGTGGACTTGGAGGCACGTGCTCCAGGTTCAAACACCTTCATTAAAAATCTTTAAGACAAATAAACATTTCATATCTGAGGCGCATGTATCAAACACGCTGTTGTACTCAGAGTCAGATCGCTCAGCTTTCAGGTTTGATCATTTTTATTGTACAAAAGTCAAACTCAGACTGTTACTGACAGCACAGAGGGGGTTTCTGTGGAAACAGAGGACACTGTGACTGTGAAACTTAAAGTGAAACTCAGCTTTTATTACTTTTCTTTCTAACGTTAAAGAATCATTTACACAAACTGGAGGAGACGACAGAAACAGCAGGCAGGTGTGTCCACATGGTTTATGTGGACACAGTTAAAGACGGTTAAAGACACCGAGACACTTCCTCTTCTTCACCCACTCACTGCATCTGTGTTTTTGCCCCTGAGGTGTGTCTCTGACGTCTTGTGTGCGGCACGCTTTTGCTCTCCTGCATCCATGTTTCTAAGAGTCACGTCTCTATATAACACATCTATGATTGAATGATAGATCTGAGCAGTTTGCTCTGAACAACACATCTGCTGAAATCTGACGAGGTGATGCTGAACATGCAGAAATCTCATGTGGCTTCTGGAGTTGGACAAGTGCAGTCATAACACCGTCTCAGCCTTTAACCCTTTAAATCTAGTTAATGTGTTTATTTTACACAGTTTGAGGCCTCAGTGTTCCCCACTAACAAAATAGAGCATGAAACTACGTGAAACAC